CATAGAGACTCCTTCATTCTCTATAAGCTCTCCAAGCTTATTCTGTATAATCCCTTCCACAAAATTCAAAAGCAGAAAAACTAGAAGGTGCTTTCCTCATTTGATCACTCTGGGTCAAATGAGGATGTTTGAACAGGAAAGGAACATTAAGAGTGCCCATTCTGGCAGCTGGCTATCAACAAAAAGATATACAATTAATGCACTTCTATTTGCAAATTTTCTTTTGGAAAGGAGTTTGTAGCTTCATTCCTTAAAACTTAYTTTGACCCAAACTTGTCATGCAAATCTGTGGTCTGGAAAAAAAATATTTTGCAACATTAGAACTAACACATTCGGGTATCTCTGCTTGTTTAAAGATGACAAGGACAAATAACAGAAAAATGCATGCAAAGCTGGAGATGCTTTTGCAACGTTCACCTTGATTGCACTCCCCTCAGATTTTATGGCAGGTTATAACCCATCATGCTCTTTTTTTTTTTTCCCTGTGTGTATTATCACTTAAGATCTTTGGAAGCAACTGACGTGGTGTGCATGAAATTGTGCAAAGCTTYTGATGCAACTTCCTTGTCTCTAAGCTGGGTAGACATGGATTTGATGRGTGGACATCYCCATGGATAAGGACTTGGATTGRTGGCACTCACAGAGTYGTGGTCAATGGCTCAATGTCCAAGGGGACACCAGTGACAAGTGGTGCTCGTGGGGGGTCAGTTTGGGGCTGKTGCTGTTTAACACCTTTGCTGGTGACATGGGCAGTGGGACTGGGGCAGGTTTGCTGACCACACCGAGCTGTGGGTGTGGACAGCACCAGAAATGTGCTGGAGGGAAGGGATGCCACACAGAGGGACCTGGRCAGGCTTKAGAGGTGGGTCTTGTGAATTTTAACAAGGTCAAACACARAGYCYTGCATGTGGGTCAGGGCAATCCCAAKCACAAACACAGCCTGGGTGGAGAATGGGTTGAGAGCAGCCCTGAGGAGAACAGTTTGAGGATGTTGGTTGATGAAAAGCTCGACATGATCCAGCAATTTGTSCTTACAGCCCAGAAAGCCAAATGTGTCCTGGGCTGCATCCAAATATGCAGGCCAATGGAGGTGATTCTTCTTCTCTGCTCTGCTCTGGTCAGACCCCGCCTGCAGGGCTGCATCCAGCCCCGGGGTCCCCAACACAGGAAGGATGTGGACCTGTTGAAATGAGTGCARAGGAGACCACAAAGATGATTAGAGGGGCTGGAGCACCTTTCTTGAAAAGACAGGCTGAGAGGATTGGGATTGTTCAGCCTGCAGAAGAGAAGGCTCCAGGGAGACCTCATAGCAGCCTTCTGGTACCTAAAGAGGGCTACTAGAAAGCTGGAGAGAGACTTTCAACRTGGGCATGTAGAGATAGGACAAGAGGAAATGGGTTCAAAAGGAAAGTAGGTTTAGATTCAATATTAGGAATATTTTCTTTACTGTGAGCATGGTGAGGCATTGGAAGAGGGTGACCAGAGAAGTTGTGGATGTCCCATCCCTGGAAGTGTTCAGGGGCAGACTGGATGGGTGTTGAACAGCTGGGGCTGACAGAAGGAGTCTCTGCCCCTGGCAGGGGTGATCTTTAAGGTCTTTTCCTACCTGGTGCTTCTTCTGTGATTTCTGAGCTCTTTATAATATGGTACCCAGATAAATAATAAAAAGATAAAAAGTTTAAAGATTTGAATAATAAAAAGCAATACTTCCTGTCAAACCCCACCCCTCCCCACTCTCAGGACTTCAGGGAAAGTCAGTGAGGGAAATTTGCTGCAAACCTTTMTGCTGAGACTAGCTCTGTACCACATCCAAAGGCACAGAATGGAGATGCTTTCTATTTTTTTTTTTTTTTTTAATTTTTTTTTAGGCTAGAACAGGGTGCAGAGCTTAAGCACATGATAAGAAAATCCTAACACAGCCTTCCCTCTGACCACTAACATTAGTGCATCTAATTAGTGAAGCCAATCCACTGATGACTCACGTTGACTTGGTGCAAGAGCCTTGCAGGAGGGGGAGGATACAAACCACAAAACACACATTTCTTGCTCTAGTTAGAACCCTCTGCAAGGAAGAGCTTTCAGAGGGAAAGTAGGAAGGTSACAGCCTAGCCTGACTCAGCCTCATCTGCTTCCACCAAGCACTGACCAGCCCACGAKTCTTGTTCTTCCCACGGAACTCACACCATCCCCAATGCCTTATTTTTATACAGAGAGAGAAGCTTGGCTTCCCCCCATTTGTTCTCCTTTTGTATACACAAAAACAAGAGTTGACTCATGAACTGTAATGACAGATACTGTGCATTTTTATATATTAACTGATGCATGCCATGAGCAATGTCCTTGAGGCTCCTTGGCTGTAAGATACCTTCTGCTGTAATCAATTTGTTAGKGCAAACAGCTCTGAATCTTATTATTTATTGCTCTTCTAATGTCTGCCTTACTCTGTATGGAGTCCATTTCACTTAAGTGAGCTAAAAATGACAACATGACAACTGCTTCTCACAGTGCATGTGGAYATCCCCTGGTTTGAGCATGGCTATGGTAGTTTTGCAAATTGTCTTTTTGCCTGTGTGTGGCTTAGAAATTAAGTCACATCCCAAAGTATTTGAGATCATAAAGATACTTTTTACGTTATTATTTTTTTTACGTTACGTTTTACGTTATTACGTTACGTTACGTTTTACGTTATTACGTTTTTACAAGCAGAATCACTTTACCAGAGCAGACTAAAAGTTTGCTGAACTCTGTATGCAATTGGGAGACTTAAAGTGATCCAGTTCTTCAAAAGGAAACATAASTCCTTAAAATAATAAACCTAATTGCTTTATATAGTGCTGCTCATGGAAATTTTTCCCAATTCAGCATCTAACACACAAAAATCCACATTAAGACTCTGCAATCTCMTCTTTGCTTACTGCAATGCCAGGAAGCACCATTTATGTTATTGCCTGACCACCCCACCTTTAAGGCCAAGTTGTTTTACACAACAGCAGCAGCAAAGTCCCATCCCTTGTCCTTTGCATGAGAAATAGATCCTTAGCTTTATCTGTTGTTGCCTTCCCCCTGCATTAAGAGATCACTTTCTGGATCCCAAATGCCTCATGACCTTGAGAAGGGGGAATTCTAMAGCAGCTCCCAGGTGGGAGGTGGTGGAATCTCTCAGCTGCTGTGAGTCTTAGCAGGTTTGGCCAGAGCTGAGTTGGGATTAKCAGGGCTGCTGCCAGCCCAGCAGCCGGGGCCCCACATGGGAGCCACGTGCGGTTCCGCAAGTGCAGCTTAGTCACAGAGAGAGGCAAGGCAAACCCTTGAGTCACAGAATCCTCCTCCTGCTCTTACCCAAGGCTTTACTTGTACGGAAATGCCACCTTTGCTGCCCAATAGCGCTACATTTCAGCTGCTCTTCCACCAAAACTTTCCTCGGGTGGTTTTTTTTCGTAACGCAAAGGGATGCAATACTCATGGCTGTGCTGCACTAATGTAATMCTGTTTTTCTGACGTTACTCATAGTCTAAATCAGCATCACATTGTCTSTTGTGCAACATTTAAACAGCATTGTCTAAATCATACCAGGAGAAGTTACCGGGAGATCAAAAGGCACACGGGTGAAACTCTGGGAGCTGCTTTTGTCTGAGGTTTCGCCGGCGCTCCCGAGCAGAAGCTGTAATGTGGTTTTCAGCCGATGGAGCATGAGGCAAAAGGGAGCCACAGCAGAACAGGTTCTCCCTCTCACCCTTTACCTCAGAACAAAACTTTACCATCCAGCACAGAGCACTGCACCTTTTACATTGCGTTAGTCCGACTGTGGAAAGACTGGCAAGCTGACGTGTTAGGAAACCAGGGTAATCCCTCTCCTTGTTCCTGACTTTTTTCCTGGCATCTTCCCAAAAGGGGAGGGGAAGAACAGTTAAAAACATTAYGAAAAGAACAAGCATCGCCAAACTAAAAATTATCCAGCCTTACAAAGTTCTTTACCCCACAAGGAAAAAAAACCTTCTAAAATATGTATTTTTAAACATAGATGGATGCTGATTGCTTTAACTTACACAAACATCTGCCMACTACTACCATGTGTGGAGTGCTCATGCTTTATTACAAGGTCCTAACAGTTGGGCTGAAAAATAAAGTGCTAGGAAATATCTGAATTAAAGCAAAAATATCCTYGAAGTTAAAATTTCTTCTACTTTTACAAGGAAAAAAATCCAAACCAACACCGCCAAACAAGCCCCAAATTTGTTGACAGTAATACAAAGCGAAATCTCAGTGTAAGGCGTTTACAAACTTGCCATTTCAGTGCCTGACAAGAAAACTTATGTTATGTAAGGACTTACATATTTATTAAATATTTATACTCTGTTCTATATTGCATCACAATCAGTAAGTGCACTTTAATGTCAGAACTTAGTATTAGAACACAATATAGACACYCAATTCTGAGGTACTTTAGTTCAGCAAATGAAAAAAAAAAAACGTAAAGAGAAAGAAATCAATACAATCTGGATAACACAAAACCGATTAATTCCTGGTATCCAAGGAGGATTAGAGGAAAGAAAYGCAAGAGACTGGGGAGGCAAGTCTGCCAGATCTATTTGGGAGGGAGAGAAAAGAGCTCCCCACAGTACATTAAGATACTTCCCGAAAAAAGCAAGAGTCATTCCTAGGCTTTGCTCCAACTTCCATGAATCGCCGCCTGCAGAGTAACCATGACTCGATCTTCTCAGATTTTGTTAAAGAGGCAMTGACCTTCAAGCCAACATTCACACAGAGCAACTGCATTGTGCAGCTGGGAACAGCTTACCAAAACTCAGGCCATGTATGGTAAAGTTTAGCACAATCATTCAAATAATATTATATATGCCAGGTTATCATCACTGCCTAATTGCTCCCTTTGAAGGAAAAATTAAAAAAAAGGTGACAAAATCCCCTCTCTTGCACATKCAAGTTTCTGCATCTAGTGAGGCAGCTCTGAATGTAATGTAGAAGAAAAACAGAAGAATTCCAGATGTTAAAAATATCATTTAATTAAAGAAAGATAAATCATACCAAAAGTTTAGGTTCACTCTTAGTTAATACATTTGCATTTATTTTAGAATATACTCTACATCTGAGTAAAAAAGTTTTAAATAAACTCCAGTACATGTACAACCGTGGGACCCGCCATCTCTCCCACAACAGAGGGATGCTCCTTAGCTCACTGGGTTCCCTCCGGGGTAACAGAAGCAATTTTGTGCCAGTTTCGTTATGTTCATCGGCTTGAGYAGAGCCTCCTTATCAGCCAGCAATGCCACCATCTCGTACACGTACGGGTTCAGCCTCCCCGCCCGGGCGGGCACAGCAACTGCTCACCCCAGACCGTACAACGAAGAAAACACGGAGGGGGTCAAAATAATTAATAAACTAGTATTGATTAATTTACATCTCTTTCTCTCGCTTGTGCGTTGGTAGAAAACCTGCTGCAGTCCCGGAAGCGCGCAGGAAAGCCTCGGCCCGGGCGCTGCCCTCGGCCACCGCAGCAGCGACAGCGCCGGGAAGGGACGCGCCGCTCCCGGCGGGTCGGGAGCCCCTTGCCCCGCTCCCCCTCGGCGCTCACTGCCCCCAGCTGCTGACGCCGATCTCCTGCTTGTATCTGTTGGTGAGCACGTTGGCCTTGCGGGTGAGCTTGGAGAGGACCGAGTGGAGTCCGCTGAGGTGGTAGTGGAACTGCTGCTCCAGGTCCTCCTCCCCCTCGCTCTCCTCGGCGGGCCCGCCGCCCAGCTTGTCCTTCTTGCGGGCGGCCTCCTCGCCCGCCGGCGGCTGCACCACGCCCCACTCGATGTCGTTGCGGATGGATTTGAGCAGCATGTAGTGGCTGTACATGTCCCTGCGGGAGAAGTAGGCGCCGGGGTCGCCGGGCGGCAGGGCAGCATCCCGGGGCGGGCACACGGCTCCCGCCGCGTCCAGCTCCTCCAGCAGCAGCGGCACGTCCCGCAGCAGGCTGGGCACCATCACCGTCTGGTCCATGTTGTTCACGGCGCCGATGAAGCGGTTCATGGCGTTGAACAGGGAGTACTTCTGGCTGTACGAGTCGCAGATCTGCATCATGTTGGCGGCCGGGCGGGCGTGCTCAACGAAGCAACTGGGACCGGACCGCGGAGCTCCTCCGGCGGCGACCTCTTCCTCCTCCTCCTCCTCYKSCTCTGCGCTAGCGGCACCGGCCGCCCTCCGCCGCGGGCTGGGCTCGGCGGCTGCTGGCGATCAGAGTCCTGCTGGGAAGCGACGGCGGAGGCGCCGGGGTTAGGGGCTGCTCTCCCTCCCTCTGTCCCTCCTCCCTCCCCCAGCCCGCCTTCCCGTCCTCCAGTCAGCGCCCTCTCCTCCTCCCCCGCCACCACCGCATTCATCCCCGAGCCCCACGTCCATCCTTCAGCCATCCCCTGCCCGTCCGTTCTCTCACCCTCCACTCCTCCGCCTGCCTTGCTGCCGCCGTTCCCCGCCGTACAAAACGAGGCAAAACGCAAAACTCCCCCCGCGAGCCACGCGTGAGGGGTGCCCGAGAGGACGGCAGCCCCTCACCGCGCCGGTAAATTAAAATTCAAGCGGTCCCCAGCCGCTGTGTCGCGGGGAAGGCACCCACCGTGGTCCRGAGCTGTTCCCCGCCGCCCGTGGCCGCGCTCCCATCCCCGGCGCAGTATTTATAGCGCGTATCTTACACTAAGGTGTTCCCCAGTGCCACCCCCTGCGCCGCCACGCCAGATAAAGGCGGCGGGCGGYGGCAGCGCCGGCTCCGCCTCTCCCCCCCCACCGGGGGAGGGCGCCGGGAGCAGAGCCCGCAGCGCGGGCATCCCGAGGGGGCCGGGCCGTGCGGACSGAGCGCTGGCGGCACCAACTGCGGGGCTGAGTGCCCCAGGGGAGCCGTTCCAGTGCGGCGGCGGCAGCTGCGCCGCATCCCAACCCTGGGAGGAGGCAGCGGCGGGCGCAGAACGCTCCCGAGCGCCGGTGCCGCCCCGGGCGGGGGTCACAGCGAGCGGCACCGTGACAGAGCAGCGCTGAGGCCCTGCCCGCCATCCCGGGCGGGGGTCGCAGCGAGGGGCACCGTGACAGAGCAGCGCTGAGGCCCTGCCCGCCATCCCGGGCGGGGGTCACAGCGAGTGGCACCGTGACAGAGCAGCGCTGCGGGCCCTGCCCGCCATCCCGGGCGGGGGTCACAGCGAGTGGCACCGTGACAGAGCAGCGCTGAGGCCCTGCCCGCCATCCCGGGCGGGGGAGCTGCGGGCGGGGCGGGGCGAGGGGGATCCTGGCGGGTGATTGACAGCCCGTGCCGCGGGGACACGCGGGCCCCGCGTGCTGCCCGCGTTCTCCCGGCCCGCCCATTGGCTGCCGGGCGCGGCGCGAGCGTGACACCGGCTCCGCCCCCCGGCGCGCCGCGTGCCCCAGCGCCAGTTGGAACGGGCGGTTGGGCGGGGAGGGTGTGGGGCCCGCGGGCGTTTGGCCAGGCTCGCGTCGCCGCCTCCCCGCAGAGCGCCGAGAGCCGCGGCTCCCCCGCTGCCCTCCCACGCCGCGCCAGCCCGGGGGCGCGGGGGGAGCCGGGGCAGCCTCTGSACAGCCTTTGTCTGTGTCCCGGCGCTGTGCGGGGCGGCCGGCATCACCCCACAGCCTCACCTCCGGGCCCAGCCAATGGGCGCGCCGCCCGGCCGCTCCCCGCCAATCAGCGAGCCGCGGCAGCAGCCAATCGGAAACAAGAGCGCCCCCCCCCACACGCGCCCGCCCTGGTAACAGGCGGGCTGGCCGCGAGCGCGGGTCACGTGGGGCCGAGCGGCGCGGGTTGGGGGGCGGTTGCCGTGGCAACGGCTCGAGCATCACCCGGCGGCGCCGGGGCCCTGCGGGCGGAGCGGCTGCGCGCTCCCGTGTCCCGAGCTCCGCGCTCCCGTGTCCCGAGCTCCGCGCTCCCGCGTCCCGAGCTCCGCGCTCCCGTGTCCCGAGCTCCGCGCTCCCGTGTCCCGGGCTCCGCGCTCCCGTGTCCCGAGCTCCGCGCTCCCGTGTCCCGAGCTGCGCGCTCCCGTGTCCCGAGCTGCGCGCTCCCGCGTCCCGGCCTGCGCGCTCCCGCGTCCCGAGCTCCGCGCTCCCGTGTCCCGAGCTCCGCGCTCCCGTGTCCCGTTCTGCGCGCTCCCGCGTCCCGAGCTCCGCGCTCCCGCGTCCCGAGCTCCGCGCTCCCGTGTCCCGTTCTGCGCGCTCCCGCGTCCCGAGCTCCGCGCTCACGCGTCCCGAGCTCCGCGCTCCCGCGTCCCGAGCTCCGCGCTCCCGCGTCCCGAGCTCCGCGCTCCCGCGTCCCGAGCTCCGCGCTCCCGCGTCCCGGCCTGCGCGCTCCCGCGTCCCGAGCTCCGCGCTCCCGCGTCCCGAGCTCCGCGCTCCCGTGTCCCAGGCTCCGCGCTCCCGCGTCCCGAGCTCCGCGCTCCCGCGTCCCGAGCTGCGCGCTCCCGTGTCCCGGCCTGCGCGCTCCCGTGTCCCGGCCTCCACCGCTCCCGCGCTCCCGGGGCCGGCGGTGCGCACGGACGAGTAGCCCGTGGCTACTGAGAGGGTCCCCGCACCGTGCCCCAGCCCCTGCCCGCAGCGGCGGCTCGGCCTCCCGCTCTGCTGCACACAGCCTCCGCCGTCCCCGGCTGCCTTCAGGCCCCGTTCCCTGGGTGACAAACCGTCCGTGTGGGTGACAAACCGTCCGTGTGGGTGACAAACCGTCCGTGTGGGTGACAAACTGTCCGTGTGGGTGACGGGACCCCGGGCACGCAGATACTCGCGGTTAAGCGGTAGCCAAAGATATGGGCTGGTATAAAATTACGAGCTGTTCGCAGATAATTCACTGCGGGGAAAAAAAGGAAATAATCTCACCAGGCCAGAAAATTGGCCACGACTTATATTTGCATCTTTATATAGACGCAGTGTGTCGTTAATAGACCATTAACAGTTWTGCTGCCTTTAATTGAAATACAGCCTGTGCTGAACATTCAATACATTGGAAAAAGCAATAAATCTTTAGAAACAAGGGAAATTGGTTTATTGTCCAACATTCCAAATTAAAACAATTAAACATTTGAACAAATTGAAACKGAAGTCTTTACCTGAGGTTACAACATACAGGCTGAGGAGGAGAAAGAGTTGGCAGAAACAACCCAGCTTAGAGCTGCGAAGAGGGGAAGTACCTGGGTCTTCAGTGTGATGATAYTATACAAATTATGGCCTGAGCATTAAATAATTTTCACCCACACCTATCTTCTTTGTTTCCCAAAAGGTATAGCCACATGCTGTGCTTCCAGCATGGCTTCAAATGTTTCCTTATTTTAGTGAGGCGTGTGCCTCATCCSTTAGGCTGAAACAGATCAGGTCAAATTTAGCAGCATAAGGTGATCGACTTTTAAAAAAACCTTTTTGTTTTTAACTTCATTATGTTCTGATCAATTTTGATATGCAGCATAAATGTCTCTGATACATATAATGTGTATCATGAACACAGGTCTGGGTAGGTTTGATTGCTCTTTGGTTAGAACAAAAAAAAGGAACACATATTCCTTACTCCAGTGGTATGTAATTGACATGGCTGTGCACATGAGAGAAAAAGGGATGGTACTTTTTTCACTCCTCTTGAKAAAAGATGATCCCATTTAAGGCAAAAACTTTTATATGCAAGTGGCATTTGTTTGAAATGTGTCCTCTTCAGAATGATCTGGTTATCRTGGCTTTGCAGGGCCTGGAAGGGGAATCAGCTGGAAACCCCTTATCGTGCCCTGAGCAATAAGGAAGTTTTCATGTTCAGTATCTGGCAGTCCAAGGAGGTGTAAATGTGTACCTTTGCCCAGAGCGGGCTCCTGGATAAGGAGACCAACAAGACAACATGCAACAGTAGCCTTTATCCAGCACCTCAGATGGATGGAGCACTCCTGATGAACAAACTCAATAGTGTGGGGATGCAAAGATCCTTCTGCTCAAATGAGCTTGGTACTACTATTCAAGAAAGCAGGAGTCACATTRAAGTTACAATATTAGCTAAAACTTAATTTTCTCTGAAGTGAATGCGAGCTGGTGGTGTTCAGCCCTTTCTGGGCAAGMGCCTTCTTTCTTTCTCCTTCATGAAGAAGAACAGGGATGAACTGTAGCTGTTACTATTTAGCTGTTCCTGACCTTTTAATGGCATTAACTGTTTGACTTAGCTGTAAACCAGCCTTCAGCCCAAGGAGCACTGAGGTTAGTGCTACAAAGGTTAGCTGTAGGAACAGAGCTGCTACTGGCCTGTCTCCTCTGGCAGCATTAGCAGCTGTGCAGTGTTTTTCCCAAGTAAAGACAGATGATTCTGTCAACTTGCATGGGTTTTCATACCATTTGCAAGGCCTATCTAATTTCTCTGTTCAGTGGCAACAGGATAACAAACCGTCTTTGTTCACAGCTTTCCCAAGACGCGTGCTGGCACGAAAGAGGTGCCACTGGCACGCTGCAGACCAGAAATGGCTACACTTTGGTGGCTAGGAAGTTGTTCTGCTGCACAGTGTTTGCAAAATAAGATGAGATCTTGTGCAGACAAAAAGTGACAAATATGTGAAAATATTAAGTGTTGCATTCTGCAGCCTGGGAACRCCATTTGGGCCAGCCTTGTTAAGGGCAACAGCTCTTGGGAATTTCACTTCGTCTCATAATCTGTTGTTGATGTGACATGGCAGATTAGAGTTTAGCCTTGGAAACTGTGAGTTGTTTCCTTCTATTCCTATTTGACGTACATTTTTACTCAAACTTGTGAACTGCTCCTATGATTTGGGGAGGCAGTACAGATGCACGCATTTAACACTTCTTTCTCTTTCTGAAACTGAGTCCAGTTGTACCAGACACTGAACTGAGGAAACCCATAATTTCTCATCCAGAAGGAATGTATGTAAATTTATCATCTTAATTGATGCCTCTCCATGAGGTTCATATAATCAGCCCTTGTAGCTTAACGTGCTAATGAACAGGGTAAGTAGAAATCTAATATATTAAAGGAATGCAGACCAATTTGTCTGAGCCCTGCTGAGACCTGCAGTGTAAGTTTTGCAAAGATTTACTCATCTCTCTCCTATCTTTCACTTATCTGCCTATTACTCCTTTCTGTTGGTCCTCTGTGAGCAGAGTGATTCTCAAAGCTCACAGAAGCCTCTGTGAGGATATGCAGAGGGGTCAGAGGATGTTTGGAGGAGGCAGTGATGATGGTAAATCCCCTTTCCCTCTGGCACAAGACTGCACACTGCCAGGAGCAGCACAAGAGCTCTGCGTCGCCACGTCCCAGCCCAGAGCAGCAGTGCTTCATGTGCACGGTGAAAAGTGTGGGATCCAGTGGGAGCTGTGCTGGCAGTGGGATCAGGGAGCAGTGCTGGGCAGGTCGGCAGATGTGTCAGGCAGCTGAGCTCTTGTGAAGCCCCTCTGAGCTGCCTGGCTGCAGTTTGCACCCAGATCTCTCCAGGCCTGTCAAGTCCTTGCTTCCTCAGCTTTCCTGGAAATCATTACACGTACAGCTTCAATCTGTTTGCCAGTGACTGTGTATTTTCAAGGCCTGGGATCAGCTAGCTAGCACTGTGAGGTCGAAACAGGCTGAATTCTCTTCTTCCTTAAAGGAGTCGGTGGGATAAATGATGCCACAGATTTTTCACACGGTGTGTGCGTAGCTTCCCTCTCCCCTATCTCTTGCCAGCCTCATCCATCTTCCCTGGAAGCTGGTCTGAGCAG